TCCCCCAATACTCCGTGACATGGCCAAACTAGGCCCATGTGCCTGGGCCCCAGGCTGAGGCCTGCACGTCCCCCCACCCCACTTTGTACCAGTGTAACTGTAGCATATACGGGGGGGACGCCCCCGGCGGGGACACAGCTTTATACATGAAGGTGCCTCGCAGCGGTAGAGGTTAGGCCCAGCGATACCAGTCGGCTCGAACGACCTGCACCCCCCGGGTAGGCAGCGGGGGTGGAGGGGTGTACCAGTCTCACTGGCGCAGCCCCTGTTAACCAGCGCAGCGCCGGGTGGCTTAGCAAAGCAGGCAGGCCCAGGCTTTGGGAAGAGAAGCCGCCAGCAGGTCTTTGGTTAAAGGGCGGGGCGAGTTCAGCACTTACACCCAGCCAGGGCTCTGCTGCTGCCCTGGCGCGTGAGCTTGGACCGGTCACAAACACTCAGTGCCTCAGTTTCCCCAGCATAGGCCCACCCACACACACTGCCCTGCCCCCCGGCCATTGCTGTAGGTGGCCCTTTCAGCTCATGTGGGGGAAGGGGCCCCCGCGGGACTGAGCCGTGTCAGTTAGTGAAGCAGGGACGTGCTCCCCCCACCGTGCAATGCACGTGCGTCGTGTCCTGCCTGCAGAGCTGGGCCTCGCTTTGCACAGCACATGCCTAGGCCATGCCGGGCACCATGTGTGTCTCCAGGTTGCGGCTGTTACTTCATGCGGGGGGGTGAGGGGTGCTGACTGCACACTGTTCCTACGTGCCCTTTGGACTCCACTGCACTGCCATTACTCAGGCTAACGGTCTCTAATTAACCCGCCCCTCAGAACATGGCCACCTCCCAGCCCCACTGAGGGAGACCAGGGCTGACCCCAGGGCTGGGCGGGAGGGGGGAGGCTCAGGGTGCGTGGGGGGCAGGGCTGATCAAGAGGCGGAGCAGTGTGTCTCCTCAGCAGTCACACCCCCGCAGCCCAGCTGTTTTAAAGGGGGGTTTATTCCAGTCGCTGCCCTCCAGGGAATGCCCCTGATCCAGCACCGAGGGCTCGTGGGTAGGGACGTACGGCAACGGCCTCCCGCTGCCTGCCGGGGCTCCCGGCCCCCTGCCGGTCACGGCGGCGTCAACTCGATCACGTGGGTGGGTGGAATCAGCAGCTCCTCGTTCACCTGCGCAGGACAAGCCGAGGCCACGGTGAGGGTGAGGGGACTCTCGGGGGGCACACCACACCCACTGGCTTGGAAGAGTCCCCGGGGCCCTCACTCTGGGCGGGGACGAGGTGCCACTACTCTCTGCCTGCTGGCGTTATACTCCGGTTCCCAGCCGCGGTGGGGAGAAGAGCTGCTCTATTCCCCTGCCGGGTCCAGGCGGACTCTAGTACTGGGGCTCCCCGTTCCCATGGGAGGTGACTGCCGCTCAGCAGGGCTCAGGGACAGTGAGCGCCCCCTGCTCATCCCCACCTGTCCTCTCCGTGTACAGCGAGTGCTGCGTCTGGGAAGGCGCCGGATTCCCAGCCCTGAATACTCACGTCGTAGAACAATAAGGCACGTACTGCATGTGCCCCCCGTCCCCCAACCTGGCACCTTCGCTAACCCTGCACGCCGGGGACCTAGGACCCTTTGCCCATCTCAGTCCAAACCCTGCGGGGTTGGTTTCCCTCTCCTGCTCTGCTCATCTGTCCCAACGGCATCCTCTCTCTGCACACACATGATCAATTCACCCCCTGGAGAGGTGTCTGCTGGGCCCACCCCACTACGCAACCCTCTGCTGGCCTTCAGAGCCCCTCCTGGCCCTCTGCCCATCCCCCTGGCATCTCTCCACCCCTCCACTTGCCCACCTTGGCTGGCAGAGGATGCACGGGTAGGCCCTGGCTGCAGCCCCAAGGACCAGCCTGTTCCACCTCCCACCGCTCAGAAACCACCTCTTCTGCTTGCCTGCAGCCCGCGAGGTGTCAGCCGGGCCGGCTATACGCTGCATCACCTCCCCTCACCCTTGCTCACTGCCACAGGGCCATGGGGGCAGCTGCCATGCAGGGCCTCTGGCACCCTTAGCAATGAGCCCTCCCGTAGCGCTCCAACGGCCAGTGAGGGGAGCTCCCAGAGCCCGGGCCCTTGTCCCAGCGAGGTACCAGCTCTCCCACTCACCTTGGAGGTGACGTACTGATGCAGCAGCATGTGCAGCTCCGTGTTCTGCTGCTGGAGCCCGTCAAGATCGGTGAGCAGCTTCGCCCGCTGGCTCAGCACGGAGCTTCACAAAGAAGGGACATGGGTGAAACCTCCCGACGGCAAAGCCTCTTCCTCAGGGGCCTGGGGGCTTTTAATGCCCCCTTTGCATTTCACACGTACAGCTGTGGCCCCGCTTTTCTCAAGAGCAGGGGGTGAGCGGTGCCCCCGCCTGGCTAAACTGGTTGTGTCGCCCACAAATTGCCCCTGGCGTTTCAGATGGATCCTGTGTTCTTCCCAGCTCGCCCTCCATGGCTGAGTGTAGCCCAGAGAACGCCACTGACATAGCCCGGTCCCCACTGACTGCAGGGGGCCCAGGGACTGGGAAGCTCAGCTGGGGGGAGGGTTCTGTCTGCTCGAGCGACTGATGCTGTGAATGTCACTGGTGGAAAACCTCCATCAGAGGAGACGGCGCTGCAGAGTCACGCTCCGGTCATTTACAGAGCACTCCAAGACGGGAAAGAGCCAAACATGAATCATCCACATACAAGAAACTGATCTTCTACTATCCCACCACCAGGGGTCACCCTACCTCCAGCCACCGCCCAGCAAGGGGTCTTGGGCCAGGCACCAGCGCTTCCCCACTGGGAGCTGGACTCCACCCGAGTTAATGAATGGCCAGTTAACCCTTTGTACAGACAGTGTCTGCAGGTTTCCCCAAGCTGAGCCCACGTGAAGACAAGCCCCCCAGGTGTGCACTGGCAGCTTGGGGGGCAAGCAGCCCAGAGGGCTGGTGTCTGCAGCACGTCTCTAAGGACAAGCCCCGTCAGCACTGCCAGGCCTGGTGCCCTCACACCCGAGGGTGGGGTGGTTGGGGGCCCCCGGCTGGGGCACTTACTAGTATTTCTCCAACGCTGCCTCCAGCGCATCCCAAACCTTCAGCTTTGGCTCTGGGATGACGTGAGCCAGGGCCTCCCAATACTCAGAGTCCTTGGAGTTGTCCCGTTCCTCCATCACCTTCTTCACCTGTGGCCGCTTGTCCCTACGGGGGCAGAGAGAGGAGCCCTGGGCTCAGGGGACCGCTCTGCCCATCCTTTCAGTCACCCCGCCAGGTCTGAAAGGAGGGGCCATTGCTTGGGACAGCGCCGGCATTAGCCTCACAGCTCCCTGCGGGCAGTGACTGGCTCCTCTCCTCCACAACTGTTCATTCACGTCTGCCTGCCCCACCACGTTCACCCCACCCGATCCAACCTGCTCCCCACCGCACAGCTCTCCCGTGCCGAGTGAACCCCACTCGTTGTGGGGAACCCACCCTGCCCCACCTCTTGTCAACGTCGCCTACAGAAACCAGTTGTGCCTGGGGGAGACGGCGGGGACCTTTCCACTGCTGAGCAGACCAGCCCAACCTCTATACCCCAGCACACCCGCCCACTGCATTGGCAGCCAATCCCCAGCCTAGATGCCCCTCTTCCACTCTCCCCAGCCTCACTCCCGCGGTTCCCGGGCCTTGCCCCTCCTCCAGCTCACACGCTCGGATCAAGGGGCTACTCCTGCAGCCCGTTCTCTCCTACTCTTCATATTCCCAACCAGCTCCCCGCCCCATTCCCAGCTAACGAGATCCGTGCACAGCCCAACCTCACCTCGGCTTCTGGAAGTCCCGGACAAATGCTTTGAGGGCCTTGAGGACGTCATCGGGATGGAAGAGCAAAGAGGACGGTGATGCCGCCGAGCTCTGATGGGCCGTGCCTTCCTCCTTCAGGGCGGCCGATCCCTCGTCGTTGTCTGCTGAATCCACAGCGAGTTTTTCAGGGCCCTGCTCCTCTGCCCACTCCTTACTCTGCCCGACAGCCACACGCACCGGGAGTGAATTCCAGCCACACAAGGCTCCAACTACAGCTAACCTGTTAATGCTCCCCCCAGCCCACAGCACCTCTACCCTAAACTGCAAACCCGGGAGGCTTCCAGCCATCCGGAGCCCTGCTTTAGTGACATCTGTATTTACTGGGCACAAAACACAGGGGCCTGGGAGCCAAATTCAGCACTGGTGGAAACAGCTTAGACTTTGCCCATTTCAATGGTGTCATGGCTGCAGCCGCTGGACCACGCCGGTTCTCTTGATAAGAGCGACACCAACTCCCTCCCCCAGTGCGGGACTTTACAAGCCCCATCTCCTCCCGGGGGTCTCATCCCACGATGCCCACGTTCATTGTACCTGGCTGGAGACGACCTGCTGGGCTTTGAACGTCAAGAAGAAATCCACCAGCATATACACGTCGTCTTCATTGTCAATTTCGAGGGCCTGGAGAAAGGCAGAGAAACGGCAGGTCAGGTGGCAGCTGGGACTCCGAGATGTTGCTCTGGTCCCTTCCCAGGGGCCTAAGCTAAATTCACAGCCCTTCCCTTCCCAATGCAAAGGGGGCTGGCGCGGGACCAGCAGGAGTGCTCAGCAGGGGCAAGTCAAAGACCAGGTTCAGGTCAAGCTCTTGGTCTCTCTCAGTGAGATGTCAGACACTGGGAGCCCTGCAGCAGCACATGCTTCCCCAGGGAAAGAGAGTACGTCACACAGCTCCAAACCCATCCCTCTTCCCAAATTAGGGAAGAGGAGCCCAGCTCTCTTCGGGCAAAAGGGTGGTGGCCACAAAGGACCTCAAGAGGGTAGGCCCCGGCGGGAAGGGGATGTGAGAAGTGGAGTCTTAGGGGGAGTGGCAGGGATATCTGCATGGGGGAAGGGAGGGCAGGGTGGGAACCGGAAGGCCCAGGATTGTATTGGGGATGGGAGATCAGTGGGAGCGAGGCGGGAGTGCCAGGGGAGTGGGAGCTGATGGCACTAGGGGTGGCAAAGGGAGGAACTGGCTTCAGGTACATCCCCTCTCTCTTATTCCTTCTGCCTTTCAATCCCCCTTGGGAAGGGAGCCTCCCGCCCGCCCCTTTCCCAGCTAAACTCCCGGACCAGAGCACACGAGATCGCCCCGCTGAGTCCTACGTACTCCACCCTTCCCTCCCTTGCAGGTGACAAGCTTCTAACGGCAGCATCTCAGCAGGGCCGCCCCTGTGGAGCTGCATCATCCACCAGCAGCTCTCAGCCCGCAGGCGCCGTACTCCTTCCCCAGCACACCCTGCTGGTTCTGGGGTGTGTTCCTGCAGCACCCCTACACATGTGCTTTGTGCGAGACACCCAACCAACCGCAAAGATTGCATCCAGCCTCATCAGGGAGCGCTCGTGCCTCTCCAGCGGCTGCAGGAGTCCCAGCAGTTTTGTCTCTATCAGGAAGCCCTTGGAAGGAAATCACAGGAAGACGTCGAGTTCACAGGAGCGAGTGTTTCAATTCACACTAGGATCCCAAAGCCGCTAACTCACCCAGAGCCAGCCACAGCCCGGTTACTCTGTGCTAACCTCCATGCTCAAATAACGAGGACTCAAGTGATCCAGAGGGATGGGAACATTTCTCCTCCAGGTCTATAATGTAGCACAGCTCACAGCTCTGAACCTCCTGCCCTGGGCGTACTAAGAAAGGTTTTTAAATAACATTTGCAATGGGGATTCGAATCCCACTGCACATGCCCTAACCTGCCGCAGACTGGGGTGTGGAAAAGCCCAATCTCATGGGGGTTTAGCATTCACACAACAGCAGGATAAGGGTGGGGCAGTGGGCCTGGTTACCTCGGAAATCACATCCCCCTGTGCACTTGGAGATCACTTTCTAGTGCGTCTGATGGGCATCAGCTGGGACAGGATGTATGGGAATGCCAAACTGAATTATACTGTTCAGCCAGTAAGTGGCACCAGGTATAACCCTCTTCTCCGGAGCTGGTGACAGCCACAGCGGGCAGTGTATTAAAAACCCGTGTATCCCTCTGGGGTGGACCCTCTACGCAGGCCACATCTGGTACGTGACAGCTGTGACACCCCGTCCAGCAGCTGTTTGATGTGGAAGGTGTCACTGAGTCAGAGGCCCGAGCCGTCTCCAGCAGGGCTCGCGCTCACTGAGTCGCAGTTGGACAACTGGCAGAGCTGAGGACGCTGGGCTGCGAGTTCCTGCAGGGCTGTGTTTACCCTGGCAGGGGGATCTCCCGGGGCTCGTGCCATGGCGCGACAGCTGTCTGACCCTGCCGATCCATAGGACACTCCCCGGAAGGACGGTTTTAGATCCCTACAAGCTGTTGCGAACGCAGCTTAGCTAATTGCCATTTTGATGTATCCTCTATTGCACCAGCCCCGTTCTACCCCCTCCCCCAAGGTGTGGCAGGCAGGTGGCACCAAACACGTCAGCATCTCCCCTCACACACACATTCTGCAGCAAGAGATGCTGCCCGGGCAGTGGAAGCTCACGGCCGCACTGTGCCGGGTGCTGCTGTAGAAAGCACGGGGACCTGACCGTTGAACCCATTGGAAGCCAGAGTGGGGGATCAGGAAAAGACAACAATCCTCAGATCCAAGAAGCTGTTCTGAGAAGGACCGTCCCGGCGAAGGGCCGACACAGAGCCTTCTGCGGTCGGAGCTGGCAAGGACGGACTCACCGACTCGTCGCACAGGAGCTCCAGGATGTGTTTGACAGACTTCACCGAGATGTGCCGGGGAGGTTTAACTTCCTCTCCAGCCTCCGCCTCTGCCTCTTTTCTTCCTCCCTCCACACCCTCCTCCTCCTCTTCCTGCTGGCTGCTTTCTGAAGCACAAGGGAAGAGGGAAGCTCAGAAGACCCGTCACCTGCTGCGCTCCTCACCTGGCACAGGTAACCACCCCCGGGGAATCAGCACAGGAGTCTATTCAGAGGGCTGTTGGACGGAGAGCCATGAAAGGGGAGATGCTGGGAGGCCTGTCTGGAAGCAGTGCCAGCCATCTCGTGTGGTTACCACTTCAGCAGCTGATGCAAACCTCAGCAAGCAGTTCACAGCAGCAGGGGCGGCTGTCATTGCACTGGCCTCTAGGAGCTGGAGACAATGAGGAGCAGGGGGGTGCGGGGTGGTTGGGAGCGGAGGAGTTTCCATTTTAAAACGGGATTTGCAGAAAAGGTGCAGGGCTGGCTGGGATGCCACCCCAGCCTCGGCCAGCGGGCAGAGGTGCATGTCATTAGAAAGAGATCTGGTCTGGCTGTCCCAGGGGATTTACAATGACGACAGGTCCCTTCGCTTTCCTTCCACACCCCGGAGAGGCAAAGCAGAGCAGGGCACTGAGATTTGGGGTCAGGGGGTTTATCCCCGCCTCGTAAGGACTCACTGAGCCCTCCTGGAAAGTCGCTGAACCCCTCTGGGCCTCAGCCTCCTCCTCCGGGATGGGGTGCAGGGAGGTGTCAGCAATCAGCACATGGGAAGGGCTTTGAGATCCTGGGGGAATTACAGACGCCACGTGTCCCACCTGTTAATGCCATCACCTCCTGGGCCAGCTTGCTGGCAGATCTGATTGCCTTGCGGTGCACGATGGGGCCCACGTTGTCCAGGAACCAGGAGTCAGGCTCCACCCAGGGGAGCCCCAGCTGCTGGGTGTGAATGACGCGATCGGCCTCAAGAGCTTTCCACACCAGCCCTTTGGCTTCCTCCTCGTTCATCAGCCAGAGCTCCAGGAACTTCTGGGCATCGATGACGGCAAAGTGTCTGCAGGGAGGGAAAGGCCCTGCCGGTGACTGGCTTGTCCCGTGCAGCGTTCCATGCCCTGGACGCTGCGGTCCCCCTGTGGGTCAGACGCCCCTGACATGCTCAGTCCCAGGCTTCGGAGATTAATCTCTCCCCACAGCTGCCCGTCGAGTGCCACAACAGGGCTGCAGCTGCCTTTAACTTGAAGACAGTGGAGCAGATCACAGAGACTACAAGCCACCCAGCAAT